CCAATACCACAGATAAGAATCATTTTTGCTCGGAATTACTTCTCCATGGCTTTTCGGTCAACATCGTTGTACTCCTTCCTTGTCTTTGGAACTGTCACTGCTGGCTCGCCAATAGTTTTCATGGGGACGAAAGGTCCATCGCAGATAACATCCTAGAGTTCTAAATCTTCAGTCATGATAAAGTCATGCATCCTTGTCTTCCACCATCCGTAGTATTGTCCATTGAATCTTGGTGGTCTGTAGGTTGATTGACCTTCTTAAAAGTTTGGTGGAGCAGCCATTTGAATCCTTTTCTAGGTGTTAGCTTAATAGAAAGAACCCGATCTGATACCAATTAATGAAAACTTAGGGTCCACCAAACTGTATAGAGAACCTGGCTCACTATCAGTTCCCACAGAATACACACAATAAGAGATAAGTAAATGACACAACAGAGTTTTACGTGGAAAACTCCCAGCTCACGGATTTAAAAACCACGACCTACACTCGTAGGATTTCAACTTCACTAACCGGGCAACTTTAGATTATAACCTATTATAACCTAGGAATTAAACTCTTAATCCCTCACTCACTTGTAATAATACTATTACAAGTCTCTTTGTAATAACTCTATTACAAAGCTCACAACTCGACTAACTCTAGCCAAGACACAAACACAAGGTTTATGATTTTACAAATGGTTTCCTACATAATGTTTCTAGCTAAGCTAAGTAGGAATTATAAGTAGTTCATTCTAACAAAAGTACAACACAGCTAAGGACATATTGATAACACAGAGCTGGAAACTGGTCCTTCGTTTCGTTGTTCTTTGTTCTTGAAGCCTGAAAGTCACTTGCAAGATGGCAATACACTTGAGAGAAAACTTAATCAATTTTGGATGTGTAAGCATATGTTTTTCCTCTTCTTCATGTTAATAATATCCAAGTGATGTCACTTGGATGATGCAAGCAAATATCCGGTACAAGGCATTCCCAATAAAGTGATTGTTGCACTGTTACGTGTGTGCAGAGGAATAGTTGCAGCAACTTTACAGCTGTGAGGAGTTGACTGATACAGTAAGCAAGGGAACTGATGTCCATCTATTCCCTCTGTCGTCTCTTTGACTTTAGTTGTTGGAACTTGTGCCCGACTTAGGATTTGTTGTGCTTTGGCATCTTGAGGATGTGTAAGAGGTTCCTAATCTGGTTCTTATCATAAAATTTGTTAGATCATCAAAATATAAAAAGGCACATAACTTATCCGTGGACACATTGGATGCTCACTATTTGGCTAATTAGTTTACCAAACAAAATCATTGACCTCTGATTGCTTGATACATACGAATCAGATTGTCTTGTCCCATATAATATAAATAATACTAACTAGTGTTTTTAATACTTTCATAATGATGTTAATATTGTGAAGATTTAATATTGTAGTATCATGATATCAATATATGCTTTTTCAATTTTCAATTTTGTGATTTTTCATTTATATCGGATTGTCTTATATTGATTGAGATATGCTAAATGAATTCTGTTGATCTACTCCACCATGTTCTGATCTATATTTCATTTGAAAACCGGTAATTTTAGAAATAAAATGATCGGGAAGTGGTACATGGCCAACAGAGCGTCTAGCTGTGCCATCGTCATAGGTAGAGGCGGATTCAGAATTTAAATTATATTGCTTCAACTTTTAAAAGTTTTAGCATTGAACTCGTTATATTTTTAAAGTTATGGGTTCATATCTACTATTTTTGTATCTTTGGTAAATTTTTACATATAAATCTTTACTCCGCATCAAAAGTTATGAGTTCAATTGAACCCATTGGTAACACACTGCATCCGCCACTGCATCCAGGAGTGCGCATGATGGATGGATGACATCTCCTCTTCCCATAATTAATTAAAGGTCTCGGTTTCGAGCCTTGAAACTAAATAAACCCTAGTAAGTAGTGTTTTTCTTTTAATAAATTTTACGCAATACAAATATAGATACAAATATAGATTAGTCGTCGAGCCGGTTCAGATGAATATATGCCCAAAAAGAAAAGAGTGGTATTGTCCCATACCTCACAAAGCCCGCATATATAATGACCCAATGCTAGCAATTTTCTTACTAATGGTAGAGAGAAAAGGACAGCCGGCTCCAGTAAATCTGCAGACAAAGCATAAGCATGTGAATCTTCTATAATAATAATAATAAAGATCTTGCCTCTTGTTCCTACCTCATACAGATTACAGATACATAGTAAAGGGCAACGTGAAAGCAAGCACAACATCCACCTGTACTACAGCTGCTTCATATCCAATTGGCAGGCTAACCAACTCACCTCAATTATATTTTTGTCCCAAAATCTAGCTTTCTTCTGTCGACACAAATTTGGTGATCCTACTACAATGTCACCCTACACAATGTTTAGATATGCTTACTACCAAATGCGATTACAAAATACTATAACAACAAAAATTATACCTCAATCCTAAACAATCACTCGATGTATGATTTCGTCTTGATCCCCGTAATTTTCTCGTCAAGAAAAGAATAAAGGAGCTTAACCAATTCAAATTAAAGTTGTTAACTTGTTTTTCTTTTAAGAAAAGAAAAAAGTGGTATCTACGTGACTTGAGCTTAAACAACCTATCATAATCATTAGCTAACTCACAAGCCACGCCTTCATACATGGGTGGGAGAGCATGGCATGGCAATGGAATACCATTGATTAAACAACTAATTAATTGTAGTAGATTTATAATCTACTCTATATATACATTTGTTAGATTTAGATGCTTTTTTTTTTAAATACCGGTACTGAATCATACGACATGAGGCCCAAGGGATGAGGCAATCTTTTGATTTTGGGTTTTACTTTTCAACTAGACCTCACCTATTTTGTTACTAAATGTTCTTCAAATAGTCAAATTCCTTTTCCTTTGGTGACGACTTCTTTCACACCCTTTGCCTTTTTGTGAAGTATTTAATAGGCATACCATATGCACGTTACAATTCGTGGGTTATAATAGGCATACCATATGCACGTTACAATTATATTCGTGGAGTACACGAGTAAGTGGTTACAATATACAGATTCTTTGAGATTGTTTGTACCTTTTATAATATACGTACACCATATGCATGACATTTCATAGAATTTTGAAATATAGTCTCTGTATGACCTATATGTTACAGTTTTGAGCTATGAAAATAGTCACTAATATTTGCATTAGAATAGCTATCTACATCACACTCTTTGGCGTGTGATCATTTCTCGGACTCTGCGTGAACGTGAAATACTTTGTGCACTGAACTACCTTTATTTTGTATTGTAATATATAGATGCTATGCCACTCATAGACCGAAAGAAAAAACTAAAAGAATAAACAATTGAAAAGAAAAGGAAGTTGTCGAAGACACATTTTAAATAAGTTACGAGTAATAGTTAAGAAGTCGAACATCTGATGGAAACTTGTGGAAAATTGAGGTATGATTGGTGCACTTTCGCAAAACACACTTTGCCACATTGAAATATTTTTAGATACTTGATTTAGAAGCTACGAACCACTACTACTAACAGCTAACTTTTAGTCACTATTTTGGAATGGTTTAAACCTATCAATGTATCCAAGAATGATTCTTCCTTTAGCATGACGAAAAAGCAATTTCTCATGTTGTTCTAGAAGGGGATCTTGCGTTTTTAAATAGCGTAAACTTACTAAAATCAATTATCATGTCTTAATTCCCCTTTCTCAATTGCCCCACATTGTCATTAAACCCTGTATTTTTTATCTCTGTCTATTTTTGAAGGATTAAATATTCTCAAGATTATAAAGACGATTATAATCCTTGAAACATAGTTTAATCATCCACTACTTGTATTTTCCGCGTCTTTATAGACTTCCCAAATTCTACAATTTATCAATTTTTTGGATAGACTTCATGCTTGTTTAGTTCTTAAAAAAATGAGGGCAATTTGGTGCATAATGTCTCACGCATTCACGCAGGGTCCGCGATGAACCACACTCAAGGGTTGTGATGTGGACAGTCTACTCTAATGCAAGCATTAGTGACTATTTTCACAGCTCAAACCTGTGATCTATAGGTCACACCGATACAAGTTATTGGAATTTAAATTTTATGGTTAATTTGGATACACATGTAGCAAGTGAATTAGTTCTAACTCCGCTTGAACTCCAAAAAGTGGAATATTCCCAAGAATTCAGCAGCATGTTTTGTAGGTTTTCAATTCTCTCACATGAAAAGATACTCATCAAACACCTTCCTCAACCCGTGAATTTAATCTTCAAAGTTCATTAAATCTTATGCAAAACAAAGGATCCTAATTCAATCTACGCTATCCAAATTCTTCATCAATATAAATTGAAAATTTAAACACATCAAATTGATGTGCACTTTTTTATTTTTGGGTAAATTGATATGCACTTCGCCACTTCCTTATGAAACAATCTTGCTACGTGGCAGCAACCCAATTGGCCAAGTAATAGTAAGTTAGTAACCCTCCAGCCTAATCAAGCTGCCGAATTGCCGCAACCATTTCGCCACGTTGTAAATTCCGTTAAAGCAATGTTTTATAATTATTAGAGAAAAAAAGAGTGGCAACCTAAGAGCCCGTTTGGACATAAAATTTGATGGAAGATTTTTTCAAAAAAAATTCATTTTTTTTTCGAAATCAGCGTTTGTTCATAAAATTTTTAATTTTCACTTGAAAATGCATTTTGGAAATTTTCGAAAATTTGAAAAACTGCAAAAAGCTGTTTTTCAAATTTTTCACTCACAAAACTTCAAAAACAACCCAAACTTAAATTTATGTCCAAACACAACTCTAAATTTCAAATAACATTGAAAAATGTTTTCTCCATTTTTTCGAATTTTAGAATTCTTTATGTCCAAACGCCTACTGAGTCTAACCAACCAATTCGGAGTTTCGAACATTCACCTTATTACATTTATATATATACCTTCTTACAGCTTCTCAAAAACCATAAACAGAATTTATTTTCGAAACTTCTTACACTTCCTAGTTTGCTGTAACCAATTTTCTTCTTCTAAAATGGATTGGACCAGAGGCCAAACCATAGGCCACGGCTCCTCTGCCGCCGTCTTCGTTGCTAAGTCACATTGGTCAAACGAGATTTTTGCGGTCAAATCTGTAGAGCTATCAAAGTCACAGTTGTTGCAAAAGGAGCAGAAAATTCTATCCGAATTGAGCTCACATTACATAGTAAGCTACAAGGGGTACGATGTTACAAAAGAGAAGGACAAATTCATGTTTAATCTTATGATGGAGAATATGCCCGAAGGTACACTTACCGATGAAATTCGGAAACAGGGTGGTAGGATTAACGAGCCGTTAATCGGGTATTATACGAGGCAAATTTTACAAGGACTAGAATATTTATATTCAATGGGCATAGTACACTGTGACATTAAGGGACAGAATATTTTGTTAGGTAAAACCGGTGCCAAAATTGCAGACTTCGGTTGTGCCAGGTGGGTTGATCCGGCGGAGAGAGACGGTGGTGCCGCAGCTGCTTCCGCCCAGCCTATTGGCGGCACGCCGATGTACATGGCGCCGGAGGTGGCGCGTGGGGAAGAACAGGGGTTTGCAGCTGATATATGGGCATTAGGATGTACAATTATTGAAATGGCCACTGGTGGATCACCGTGGACTAATGTGGCTAATTCAGCTTCATTGCTTTACAAAATTGCATTTTCAGGGCAATCCCCACAAATTCCAAAGTTTCTATCTTTACAAGCAAAGGATTTCTTAAGCAAATGCTTGAGAAGAAATCCAAAAGAAAGATGGACGGCTAAAGAACTCCTCAAACATCAATTTCTTGAGGAAATATCCAATTCGAATTTTAAGGTAATTCAAGATTCTATCACAAGCTCCCCAACTAGTATTCTTGATCAAGATATTTGGAATTCAGTAGAGGAAACAGAAACCATGGATTTTTGTTCAATACAAACAGTTAGCTCAATGGACTCTCCTCTGAAAAGGGTAAGAGAATTGGGTTTGAATTCAGGAGAACCGAACTGGAGATGGGACGATGAGAGTTGGATAACACTTAGAAGAAGCAGTGAATAGCTCACAGAAAGACGAAGCAATGACAGCTTTTTCTAACTGCTATGATTATGAAATTTGAGCTGGAAATTAAGCTGGTCCGGTAGTAAGGTGTTGGAAAGAGACAGCTAACAATTTTGCTGTAAATTTTGGTACTATACAACAGAACGCTGTAAAACCAATAGTCAACAAACGAGATCGAGAAAGTGCCAATTTCAGGAAGAATGGGAAGAAACCGAAGAAGAAGAAGAAGAAGAAGAAGAAGAAGAAGAAGAAGAAGAAGAAGAAGAAGAAGAAGAAGAAGAAGAAGAAGAAGAAGAAGAAGAAGAAGAAGAAGAAGAAGAAGAAGAAGAAGAAGAAGAAGAAGAAGAAGAAGAAGAAGAAGATTCAGGTTCCGGGGCCATTAACCAAGAAGGAATGCAAAGAAATCGTACATAATATTCAAATGACTTTTCTGTTATCTCTTGTGAACCATATAGAAATTCAAATTTTGATCCTTAAAACTTTTAAGTACATCGAATTAGTAGTTTTAAGCAGTCCTAATAACAAGAATTAACGTTGGATATTTGTCCGAAAGCTAAAGTCACAAGTGAAGTTTAACAAAACTAGTCCATTTGTGCATTTGTCCTTATGTCAAGCCCTAGCAGAAAACCGGATTCTGGCAGCTCCGGCGAACTTGACGGCAAGAACCTCCGCTGAATGCCGGAAATAGCCAGGTAGACGGTGGCAGAGATACAATTACCATTTGTTAGGCCTTTGGTCTAGTCCATGTTGAAAAAAATTGGGTAATATCGGCAAGAAACTAAACTAAGACAATTCCTCAATTATAAAAAAACTTATTAGGGTAATGAATTCCTCAGTTATCGGGATAGTCCTGACCCCTGTTTTAAAAGGCGAGCCCGGGGGCGAGGCATACCAAAAACTCTCCGGGGCGATGGTGTGGGGCAAAAGTCTCAAGAGGCATACGCCCCGCAATTTGGGGCGTACGCCCGGGCGTTCGGGGCGCGTTTTTTTAGTAAGCAGTAAGTCCCAGAGACTTTTTCAAATTAAAACAAAATTTGTTGAATTAGTCCTTCAAATAATACCCAAATTCTCAAAAATAAGTTTGGTAATTGCTCAAAAGGTTTAAAAAGGGACTCAAAAGTATTAAATTTAAAAGTAAAGACCTTTTTTATTGATTTAAGCCCTAATTTATGGTTTTCTCAAATTTTTATCTTGTCCACTAGTCTGCTAATATCTCCCAAAAGCAACGAATATTTAATTTTTTTTTCCAAATACAAAGACAACTACATTTTTCTTCATAGCAGCAAACTCAAAGTTCAAATTGCAGGTTAATCATCCTTTTTATCCCTCCATATAGAAAATTTTATTCTTTTAGACTCAAATTACTTGTGCTTGTAAGTAACGTATAATAGATTGTTTTGATTAGTTTTTTGTGGGAATGGAGCACACATATATATAGTTTTCTTCAATTTTTATGCAATTTTACCTGTTTATAAATATTAATTGTTATTATATTATTTTATAAAATATTAAAAATTAAATACCTATGGGGCTTACGCCCTGCGCCTCGGGGCTTACGCCTTTCTGAGGCATATGTAAAACATCCCGCCTTACGTCCACGCCTTTTAAAACACTTGTCCTGAATTGACTCTTGAAACTTCACTAGATACTATTCTATCAACCTTCAACTTAAAATCATGCGCTAGAATTTTGTTGTTCCTGGTTAAATTTGTTTGAACCTATTTGACTGGACGCGATATTTGAAATTTGTGGTCTAAAATGATCCATGGATATTTGTGTAAATATAAATCATCTCATTAAAGGTATAATGAGAAGTTCTCAGTTATACTTTTATCAAATTTAAAAAGGAGTTATTATTTTTTAAAGTAACTAATAAGAAAATATGTTCATTTTTTTAAACAAAGGGAGTATTATTAACGACGTTGTTCTTAAACTATTTTTCACAACGGGCAATACCTTTTCGGCTATTAACAGTTGGGCTTGGCCTCTAACAGGCTAACAGCCACTAGTACTGTCGTTATTGGGAAAATGACATTGTATAGTTGCTATCAAAATAATAGTCAAAAAAATATATTTTTTTGTATATATATACATTTATATGTTATATACAAAAATTATACAATTTTTATTCACTTTTTCGGCTACCAAATATAAATAGTTTCTTGCGCGGACAAAAAATTAAAAAAACCATATATATATATATGGCAATAGCAAACTAAAACAAGTGGAAAAATTACGAATAACAATGTGGAACGTAGTTTAGTCGGCAGTAGATTTAGTTTGGTAAGAGCATAAATGTGGAAGTTGGTTATGATAAAATTGATTAGATTAACCTGAAAATCGTGATTTAGTGTACAAACAACTTGTTTGATGATTACATCTCGACTTATTTTGGGGGATTAGGTTGGTAGCTTTACTTTTTTCCCTTTTACTTAGGTATTTCCCGTTTTGATGGGACTTTAAATTTGGTAAACGTTTGATTTACTTGTTCACTATATTCTGTTTTTCAGATGTAAAATATCTCTACAAGAAAAGAGAGCAGTTGATTAATTGTTAAACGCCATTTACATAAAGAGTTTATGATTTAACAAACAATCATTTGGAAATATCTCAGCTTTCAAGGAAGATGAAATTTTGGCATTATTTCCTTATCCCTTTGTTCTGTTTGTCACGTTTACAAAAGGTGCAACTACTTTTTTCTATGTTAAAGAAATAATAATAAATTCTTACAATTACTAAAAAACAGAAGATTTTCAATTATCAAGATAGTTGTCCATAAACATAAAAGTGTGTTGGTACAACTTTACAATTACATCACTCTTAGTAATGAATTATGACTATAAGTGGAATTTAAACAAAGTTACCTTTGTTTCTTTCTTTTGGCACTCATTCAAATTTTGTATGTTCAAATTGATGGTCCAATATTTGAATCAAAAAAGTATTTTTTTTCAACCAAAAACATACTTCGAATAGAAAAGGTATAACAAATATATAAGTCGCCATTTGTCACGCCTTCCCAGCTTCCTCAAGTGGACTACTCCATTCTTTTGGATATTAAAGGGAAAAAAAGATATTTTTGACTATTTTTTGGAACCAATAACTTTTATTTAGATCCTGTATTTATATTTTAAAAAAATTAGCATTAAATATATATAAATATTTAATTGGGGATATACCTTTTGATCGACATTTGTAGAATGGAGGACTTCTTTCCTTCTTTTTTTTTTTTACTGTTGAAGCGTGTCTCAAATACACGCTAGTCATGCTGCACATTTTCAAGCCACAACAATAATTAGTGTATCTTAATGTGAAAAAAGAAAATAAATAATGGTTCTGAAAATTGAAAGGCAAACAAATGGAGTTGGTTTGAAGAAGAAGTTTATATAATTTTATTCAAACAAAAAAGTGAGTGGTTATGAAAGAAGTTGCAACTAATTGCACCAAAACTGCACTTTTCACTCTGCAAACAAAATAAGCCACCTATTTAGTTGTAAAGTGCAAGCTAACCAACGTTTATTTATTTTTTAATATAGAGTACTTGCATTTAACAGTGATGGATGTATTTTGTATCAGGTGAAGTTAGCTTAATTATTTGAGCGGTATTAATTCTTGTCAAATCACGTTTTGAAATTTAGAGTACTACTTATTTTTCTCCATTTTGCAGTATGAAAAAACTAAGGAAAAAGTGATACATAATTCATTATTTTTTTTCAAGAAAAAGAAAAAGTGACACATAATTTATTATTTTTCTTCAAGAAAAACCATATATTTGCCGTCCTTATTCTCCTATGTAGAATTTGCTTTTCATTGCATATGTGAAGAAATTCTTGAACTGAGGTCTATTAGAAATATCCCTTCTACCTTCTCAAGTCTGCGCTTTTCATGTCTGCGTTTTACTGAATTTACTGCTTAGTTGGGTACTAGTATATGTACTTGTAACTAGTTGATTTCTAAAATAACTTGCAAAAAGATTAGTTTAAAAAAGAAGCCTAAGTTTTTTTATTTCATAGAAGGTTTGAAATAATAATATAATTCATGAATCATTAGATTTTTTTAAGCAGAAAATTAGACAAGAAAGAACTGAGAGAATATGTCAGATATCAATCTAGTTGGTATTATCATCAGAGAATCAAGCAAATGTTATTATTCTGTATTGCTATAATAAACAATTAAACTTTCTAAAAAAATAAAACAGAAAGTTAGTAATACTTGTTTAACGAAATAGATTTTGGAAAACAAGAAAACAGTATAGGAATAAATCGAGCTCACTGAATACACAGTGTGTCCTTAAGAAAATTATTCCCCTCAATTACCCGAGGTGCTGGAATATATCCTCCCAGGATAGAACGATTTAACTCATCAGTGTATAGGTACCAAAACTTTGATGAACTGCGAACCACTCAATGGTCGTAAAACACACTGAAAAATATTGTGCAGAAGAAGAAGAAGAAGAAGAAGAAGAAGAAGAAGCTCAGAAAATTTCGTGATGAAAGATTCTGGGATTTCTGAAAAGGTTTGTAACCTTTCAGAAACAGCCATGGCTGTTGAAAAGGGGTGTTTAAAATATTGCGGAAAAAATATATTTAAAATAATTCGAAAAAGAAAACGGGCATGACCGAACCGGGTCGCGAGTCATGGGTTATTCCGGATTGAATTTTTCGTTAATTATTTAATT